AAGAGTGGATCCCACAGAGCCCCACGTGGACCAGGGACCTGGGGGGCGTCTTGTCTCTTGGGGTCTTCAGGGCCCGGCCCAGCCTTGGTGCTCAGACCCCACAACCAGCCCCACATGGCCTCTGCCTGCTCCACATCTCTTCTTCCCCCAGCTGCATGCTGACTTCCTGCCAAGCCATTTTCCCCTGGCTCCAAACTTTTGTCGGGAAAGAGATGAAATCAGCACTTGCAGAGCTGGAAGGGGGAAAACAGCTGCCTTGAACAAAATGCAAGAGGTGGAGGGAAGTGGAACAGCTGGATCTCGGTGGGAAGGCACAGCTCACAAGGCTGGGGTGGGGCAACCTCAGGGACCAGGGGGTAGTCTGTATCCACGTTAACCATCCTCAGGCCACCGATTTTCCCTCCACTTTACAGACAAGGGTAGAAAAATACTTCTTCCTTCTCTCCCTCCTACATGTGTTTGGGACACTAGAGAGAAGGGTGGGGCCTGCTGGGTCAGGGCCACCAGGGACACTGGTCAGGTTGGCAGATTCTCTGGCGCCCACCAGCTCCGGCCTTGTGGACATCTGATGACAATGTGATTTTTATCAAGAGGAGCTAGAGATCTGGATTTTTATATAAAAACACCCGTGATTTCAATGTTGGCAGCAAACTCAAAAGCTTTGGAGCATTCAGCAGTCAGCATAGCATGACCCAGGCAAAACACATCTGTGGGTAAACTCAGGGCTAAAGGCAGCATTCAAGGCCTCTGAATGATGGATGAGTGTGGGCCCCAGCCTGGACTGGGAGTGTCGGCTCTCCACAGTGTCCCTCGGCCCTTCTTCCTTTTGTGCACCCCAACCCCTTCTACTTTGAGGTCCATTGTTTCTGCAAGGTGGACTAGGGCTCTTGGGGGGCCACAGTCTCCTGGGGGAGGGCAGTGAGCCCCAGGTGCCTGGAACTTGCATTCTCCCTGTGACCCACAGTCCCTGGTCTCGTATCAGGCAACTCTGATGTATCTGTGTATCCCAGGTCTCCCACCATGGTGTCAAGCAGAAGCCACACTTGGTGGACATGCCTGTGATCCACCTTCCTGTGGCTTCCTCACTGCCTGGCCTGCTTCATTCACATGCCCCCAGCCCTCCCCGGGAGCACTTCCGTCATAAATCATAGGCTCACAGGTCCTTCTTCTGGAATCTGTTCTGGAAAATCCCCCTTGGACCCAGCCAAGACAAGGGGACAGCTCCTCGTGCAGCACAGAAAGCACCCAAAGGATGCTGTCTGGGATCAGCTCAGGATGCCCGGGTCCCTCCCACAGGCCCTGCTCTGCCCCTCCACCCTCTTCCTCTGCACAGCACTTTCGTTGTGGGCTTGGGTGGCTCCTCCCACTCCTCCCTGGCTGTGAGACCAGCCTGAGGTTTGAGGTCGTGTCTGACCCTGCCCAGCCCAGAGTCCTCATTGGTATAAACTAGGCTCAGGAAGTCCCAGCCCCGCTGCCACAAGGCTGCTATGAAGAACTCAGGCAAAAGTCACTCAGCAAATAGAATTCCATGGCATTCCATGGGGATTGGCTGGAGGCGATCCATCACCCTGAAGCTGGGAACACAGGTGCAATCTGGAGCCCATGCAGGCTTAGAATCTGGGGGAAGCCAGCTGAAAATAAAGTGGATTTGCAGGGCGTGGTGGCGCATGTCTGTAATCCCACCACTCAGGAGGCTGAGGCAGGAGTATTGCCTCGAGTTCAAGGCCAGCCTGGGCTACATAGTGAGTTCTGGCCCAACCTGAACTACAAAGGGAGACTCTACCTCAAAAAAAACAAAACAAAACAAAATAAAATGGATTTCAGAAGAGGGAGAGAATTAAAGGCAAAGCCTAAATCAAGTTTCAGTTGCTTGCAACCAAAAGTCTCCTGACACTTGCCAGGACTCTTAGAGATAGAGTATGGTTTCTGGAAGTTCACAGAGCTTCCGAGACTGCACAGAAGTACAGAGGGATACACTGGCCCCATGTGGAAGGTGGGTGCTGAGAGCAGATGGGAGTGGGTGCTTCTAGAAGAGGGCCCCTGCCACCAACATGGACATCAGCCAGCCAGTCACCCAACAGTGGCCCTGTGCCACTGTGCGTAATGCACTCAAGTGCATGCCCTATGCCACCTGCCCTTAAGGACCTTACAGTCTCATTAGAGACCAAGTTGGCTGCACCGGATGGGTGGGAAGGCTTGGCATTGGGGTCAGGTGGAACCAGGTCTGGGGAGCCCCTCTACCACTGGTAAACTGTGCCCAAACCTCCCTGAGCTGAAGTTTTCTTATATGTAAAATGGGGATGACCCCATCACCTACATCCTAAGAATGTTTTGACTTTTTTAAAGTACAATTTTATAACTAATCAGGCTTTTAAAACATTGACTCACATAAGACTCAAAATCATTAGACATTTTACAGATCCTTAGATGTGTTGACTTTTAATCAAACATTGAGGTCAAGCAACAGTGCCTGATATGCAGTTGAATTTAAAATGTCAACTATTACATTAGAATTATCATTGCTGAAGGCAAATGGAAAGTGAAAGGTAGGAAACACACCATGAGGGGAGTGAGTCAAAGATACAGGCAGGGTCTTTGTGGTTGGCCTCTGGGAAAGCTTAGGAAGAGATGGACTTGAGCTTGCTTTGAGAGATGGATCAGGAGGTGCTGTCACTGTCACAGGTCCCCATTACCAACAGGAACATCCTTCCTAGCCCTATCTCACTTCAAGGTCCTAACCTGGAAGTCTGATGCGGGGGGGACAAGGACCAGCAAGACATTGTGGCTCCCACCTTCGCATGTGATGGGGAGAGGCAGGACCAGGTGTGTGGACCTCTACAGGGTGCCAGGCCCTGTTCTGGGTGCTTGCATACAACTGCATCTATTAGCCATTTCCTCCATGTGTTATGGTTTATACCCAGATGCCCCCCAAAGCCTCATGTGTGCAGAGGCAGGGCCTTTGGGAGGTGACTAGATTACAGGGGTTTCTAACTGGCTTGCTGTTGGGAGGGGGGCCTGGTAGAAAGAGCTGAGTCACTGGGGCATGGCCTGGAAGAGTCTGTCTCCCTTCTTGGATCCTTCCTTTTCTCCTTGCTTCCTCACCACCATGAGGTGAGCAACTCTCCTCCTCCATTCCCTTATGCCATGCTGTTCCACCTTGGAGCCAGCTGACCATGAACTGAAATGTGATCCAAATTAAAGCTCTTTCTTTAAACTGCTGGTAGCTACACCCCCAGTCCAAGGTCCCCCAGTCTCCTTATCTCCGCTGCTGCTACTGTAGGGGGGTGACAGGTGCCCTAACAGAAAGGCACAGAAGTTGTTAGGCAAGGGCCAGGGATTTAGTTCAGTGGTTCCAGTGCCTGCCTTGAAAGCACAAGGTCCTGAGTTCAATCCCCAGTAGGAAAAAAAAAAAAGGTGTTGGGGGGTACAGAAGAAGCTGTGCCGCGTGCCACAACAAAAGCACCCACAAGCCTGAGAGATAGGGAAGGATGTGCTTAATGAAGCTGGGAATGTCACCAAAGGTCCCTAGAGTTGATCAGAGGTGTCCCAGTGAGAAAGTGACTGGGACACTGTATAACATGACTCAGCTGCACAGGACAACATCTATGGGTTTAGTGGAGGTTGGCTGATGTGAGCCAGGTTCAGCTGGGCCTGACTCCAGGATGGGTTCAGATTTGCTCAGTGTGTGTCTCATATATGTCTGGGACCAGCAGCTACCTCAGGATGATCTGTACAATAACAAGACGAAAGAGAAAGCCTCACCTCCCAGGCCCTCCCCACACCTGCATGGTGGCCATTCACATCCTACAGGCCATAGCAAGCCACGAGGCTAAGGCACGAGCAGGCGTGGGTGTGTAACCCTGGTGCTGCCCCAGGAAGGGGACACAGGGACCAACAATTCTATCTTCTACAGCTGCTGTTTTACTCCATCCTCCTCAACATGAACCGGCAGCCATGGTTAGCTGGCTGATTTCTCAGCCCCTGGGGGCCAGGAGTTCGAGGCCCCTTTGAGCCAGCACAGCTGGAGCGACGTCACTCACTGGCTGCAGCTGGTGGCGTTTGAGGAATGAGCTCTTTGGCCCCAACTCCACTGTTTCTGCTCCCGTGACCATAATGGAGCCTGACCCACAGACTTTCTTTTTAGAAAGAAAGAAAAAAGTCAAGCATTTTTTCCAAGGCTTCATTTCCTTCCAATATCCTGAAGAAACCTCCCTCATTCCTGAAAGCTTCTGCCGCCCCAACCCCAGTCTCCAGTAAAAACATCAGAGCCTTCGAAATGGAGACCCAGGGTGACTTAGCTAAAGTAAATAAAACCCAGAGAGAAGGGAAATTAAAAAGAAAACAGGTCTCAGAGAAGCCAGTCTCCCCCAAAAAGGTGAAGGAAGGAAACTGCTGGAGGAGGCGGGGGCTGCAGGGAGCGATACAGGATTCTGGGTTTGAAATTCAGGAAAAGAAAGGCAACACAGAAGCACTGCCAGATTCAGCAACTAGAAACACAGGATGGCTGCTTCCATTTGAATTTCAGACAAACTGAATAATTTTTATTGTGTGTCCCATGCAGTATTTTGGACACACTTCTGTCAAATATGGCACGGGATACCTATGCACCAAGCTATTATTCATAGCCTGTCTGAAATGCAGATTGAACCCGCACCCTGGATCTTATCTGACACAGATAAAACTGCTCTCCCCTAGTTAGATGACATCGGCTGACACTGTACCTGACCAGGGTTCCCTGGCCCGTGCCCGTGTCTGTGGGATTTTGTGTGTGTGGCTGGGGTGGAAATACCAAGAGAAGGTGAAAAGGGGGCCACCGGGAAAAGGCAGGAGGCCCGGAAGACTTAGGGTCCCCGCGGGAGGGGGAGGGGCGCCAGCAGCCTTCCTTGGATCCAGAGCTGAGATTGGGATCGCTGTAAAGGTGACAAGACCAGGGTCTCCCCATCCCACCGCCCCCCCGCCCCCCCGCAGCCCACAGCTCCGCCCTTCCTCTCCTCCTATCCTCCCAATAAGGAAGCCGGGGCGCGGGAACTGGCTGGACCCGCCCAGGCGAACTCGGGGTCCCCGGGGCATCGGGGATGGCGCCCGGCCTGCGCCTGTCGCCCCCCCCCACGCCAAGGTCAAGGTCAAGGTCAAGGTGAGTGTTGCGAGCTGGGCTGCAGGAGCTGCGGGTTGTTTCCTCCTAGTCTGGGGCTCGGGCGGAAGATGACGTGGCCGAGCGAGGAGGCGCCACGCTGCCACTCAGCTCCCCCAGCGGGAAGGGACCCAGTGACGACAGCCAGCGGGCGCAGCTGGCGTCAGCCCTTGGGGTTCACAGGCAAAAGGAAGGGGGTTGCTGGCACCAACGGGGGTGAGGATGGGTGGAAGGCGCCCCAGCCAGACAGAGATCCCCAGGTCTCCTGACCTCCGCCGCTGCTACTGTAGGGGGTGACAGTCCCCCTAATAGAAGCACACGGGCGGCGCAGAGTGCCACGACAGAAGCAAGCACAAGCTTGAGGGCACCGGAATCTGTGCTTAACGATGCTGGGGCGTCACCAGAAGTCCCCAGCGGTGAGCACTTATGGATGGGTAGTTTTCTGGCTGAACAAGACAGGAAAAGACATAGCAGGCACAGATAACATGTGTGGCCCCAGGAGGAAGAAAGGGACAGGGAGAATTGCAGGGACCCCTCCTATTCAAGTGTCTCTTAGGGAGGCACAGACCGGTGCCCTGCAACTGGGGCCAGCTATCCTCACTTGCCCAGGCCCTGCCCCTGTGCTGCAGACCCAGGCTGTGCTTATCAAGACCCGGCGAGGTTCAGGTGTCATTGTGACCAAATCCCCATCCCTGGGGTGACAGTCTCCATCCACGATGCTTCAAGGCCAATGTAGAAAGGGAAGGGTCTAGGCTGCCACCTGGCTCTTCCTGACTCTTGGTCCCTGTGCCAATGTGCCTGCCTTTCCTGCCAAACTCTGGGGTCACGGCCCCCACCCCAGTGAAAAGACTCGGGGTTTTGGGAAGAAGGGCCTTCGGTAGTGGGATTAAACTTTTTTTTTGGTACCGGGGATCGAACTAGGGGCCTTGTGCTTGCAATGCAGGCGGCAGAATCACTGAGCTATATCCCCAGCCCAAACCTTGATAGCCAGTAGCACCACACCTGACATCCTAACCATCCCATGGCATATCCTTCTTATTGCCTGGCTTTGGCTGTGTGTATGTGTGTATGTGTGTGTATGAGAGAGAGAGAGAGAGAGAGAGAGAGAGAGAGAGAGAGAGAGAGAGAGA